TTATGTTTTTAAACCCATTTTGCACAGAGAGGCATTTTTTGAAAAATGTATTGATAGCAATGTTGAATATTATTACACAGGAAAAAAACAACTACACGTAAAATAATCACACCGTGATGCCTCTGCCTTTGTAAATGGAGCGACAGTAACTGCGTGTGTATGTAAGCCTGTAAAACCTGCAGAAAGTCAGATTTTGTCTCTATCTGCCATTCTGCAATTCATCTCATGTAAACAATAACGTGCGCACAGCGTTACGTGAAAAAGGCACATACCTTTGACGCTGCTTGACGAACTCTGTATTCCTCGTCCACATTAAACGCAAAAAATGAGTTTTAAAAAATCTCCGTTTTCGGTGATTCGAAACGCCGTTTACGTGTGGACGAAACAGCTGCGTTTTCAAAAATACCCGTGTAGGTGCGGATGTAGCGTAAAAGAGTTAGTAGTTTATTTTCTTACTACCTGTAATTTATTGCAGATTACTTGTATTTGCTTAATTGTTTACTAATGTTTGAGGTGTGAAATAAACTGCAATGGAGCAAAATATGGGTGTGTGTGGTTGGAGGATGTGTGCGTGCGTGTGCGCGCGTGCACTCGAGACCAATATTCCAAATAAATAAAAGGTCAACCACAAATCTAGTAAATAGGTAAAATCCCTGTTCCTGCAAGAATTCTCACCTGCTGGGTGTGACTCTTAGCTTGTTGAAGCTCTTTCTGATTTTGGGTTAGTTGGTTCTGATTCTGCTGCAGTTGAGTCTGGGTCTGGGACAGCTGGGACTGGAGCTGTAGAATCAAAGACATGACAGAGCCAATGGCATGATGAATCTACACGCTATCTGCTATCTGAGCTAGCAGCTATCTGAATATGGTGTTCATTTTTCCCCATCTTTGAATAAAGACTTGCAGGCAGTTTCACCTAACTTTGTCAAACTGTACCTGTGTCAGCTGGTTTTGGACCTCCTGGATCTTTTCCTTGAGCTGCTGGTTTTCCTTCTGGGCTCCTTCCAGCTCCTGCAGGGACTTCTGGGCCTGGTGAAAAACTGACAATTAAACTAAAAGAAACAGAACCACTATCTCTGTATCTCAATACACATAAATATCACACATAATTATGTGTGATAAATAAAACTAGGAGATATTTTTTGCTCTGAATTGACTTCAATCATTAAGTATCAAAGTTATTTGGGTGGCCTGCTGATTAACTGGATAGGAGTTGATCGAGATGCATAGAGCAGAACTTTTTTGTTCCAAATATCTTAAATACTCCCTCCATGAGCCTTTTTTATTTTTTGGTAAATATGATAAAAAATTAAGTTGGAAAAAAAATAAAGACTTGCGCTGGTCATGTTTAACTTTGCTCACCTCCTCCTGTTTTTTCTGCACTTCTCCTTTCAGGGCACTCAGCTCCTCCTGGGTCTTGCTGAGCTGCTCCTGAGCTTTTTTCAACTCCTGCTGTACCTCCTGGTTTGGAGCCACCTCGCTTCCTGCTTTAGTAGCTGTTTCACTGACCAGCTGGAAAAGACAAACATAAATCCCCATTGCAGTTGTTCTCCACACTCAATGGGTCCAAACCGTTTCCACAAACCAATCGCCGCACCTTGTCATGCTGGGCTTTGAGCTCCTCGTACTGGGTTTTATAGCGTCGTCCAATCTTCTTCACCTGGGTTATGGTCTTGTTCTTCTCCACAATGTCATTGTTTTTTGTTTCCAGGTCTTTCTTCAGAGAGTCTCTTTCGGACGTCAGGCGGGCAACAGACTCTCTGAGGCCATGTAGCTGCGACTGAGCTGAATTTCCACTCGCACTGGATCTGATTCACACATAATCATCTGTGTAAGGTTATTTTTTTGGATGCATTGATCAATTTTCTACTGAGTTGCTGGAAATTAGGTTCCGATCACTTAGGCAGCAAAACTGCAAAAGTCTGGTACAAACCACACAGAAGAAACTAGAGTTGGGAAAGTACCTAGTAGGTATATGCATTCAGTTACGTTCAGTTCACCTTTGTGGCGTTAGTGTATTTAACAGGTGTAAGCCTGTGTGTGTTGCTCTACCTGGCCAGCTCAGCCTTCAGCTTGGCTGTCTCCTCAGCCAGCTGTGTGATGCGCTTCTGTTGAGCCTCTCTCTCCGTGGTGAGTTTCTGTCTCTCCTCAACATCACCGTCTTTCTGTTGGCTGATCAGTTGCTGTAAAAATAAAAATCACAAATCTTCTAAATCTTTTGCTTGCTGACTGCATGTATAAACTACTACACTATGGAGCCACTATAGTGTTGCAGAAATGAGAGAGAGAGAAAGAAAGCATTTACACATGTACTCAACCTCAGGCATTACCTGATTTCTTGCCTTTAATCGTTTAAGGTCTTCCTCCAACAGCCTCTTGTCAGCCTGCAGGGAGCCATTCTTCTCTGACAGCACAGACAGAGAGTGATGCAGAGGGCTGATGTCTGACTGGAGTTTTGTGACCTGGTGAGACACAATGTTGGGCATTTTAAAGCTTGCTGCATGTTTGACACCAGACTCTCTGTATGTCAGAGGAAAAATTGTATATAATGTGATCAGCTTCATGAGATGTGCCCTTTTTATTGATCACTAAGCAATCTACATGTCTACGTGACTTTTCACCTAATAACTTTTGTGATGATGAACTTATTCAGCTACTAACC